TGTTTTATCACTACAATAAATATTTGTATTTTTATTTATTACTGCTGCTATCCTTACTTCCGTGATCCATTTGCTACAGTGGTCCATGGGTATTCCCTGCTAGCCTGCATAGGCACCATTTGTGCTTACTATACAGAGCCTGATATGGCTCTGGAATTCGTGGGTGTAACCATTTATTATATATTAAAAACAAAACAGAGAGTAAGCGCTAGCTAATATAAGGGCAGCAACCCTATAAAGGAATCCCTCAGGAACCCTTAAAAATAACACAGAGAGAGAGAAAGAATAAAAGGTAAGGGCTGCGCCAATGCAAAATAAAATAACAAATAGTCCAAATAAACGAATGTAGTAAAACAAGAACGTCTTATCTAGAATATGCTCTTTGAGGTCATGGAATATATCCGTGCTATATTCCATTATTATATATTACACACTTTTATCCTACAGTACACACTATGTATTATATTATCATTTTTATGTATTATATTATCATGATATTCGCCTGCCATCAGTGTTGTGTACATATATAAGTATTAACAATTTGATTATATACTTGTATTTCTTTTGGAGGGTACACTTCTACTCTGTGTTTTATACATTGTTTTTTATGAGCAGGCGTATGTTATGGACAACAAACAAAGGTGCATTTTATTGATGACATTTTGAATGCACCGTGATGCGATCCTGAGGCCCATTGTTGTGCCATTCATCTACGGCCATCACCTCATGTTGCAGCATGTTGCAAGGATCAGTACACAATTCCTGGAAGTTGAAAACATCCCAGTTCTTACATGGCCAGCATACACACTGGACATGTCACCCATTGATCATGTTTGGGATGCTCTAAATCAGTGTATACGATAGCATGTTCCATGTCCTGCCAATATTCAGTAACTTTGCATAGCCATTGAAGAGGAGTGGACCAACATTCCACAGGCCACAATTAACAACCTGATCAACTCTATGCGAAGGAGATGCGTTGCACTGCGTGAAGCAAATGGTGGTCACACCAGATACTGACTGGTTTTTGGACCCCCCCAGGCTCCTCCAATACAATAAAACTGCACATTTTAGAGTGGCCTTTTATTGTGGTAAGCCTAAAGCACACCTGTGCAATAATCATGCTGTCTAATCAGCATCTTGATATGCTACACCTGTGGGGTGGATGGATTATCTCGGCAAAGGGGAAGTGCTCACATATTTAGATCATTTGTGAACAATATTTGGGAAAAATAGGCCTTTTGTGTACATAGAAAAAGTCTTAGATCTTTGAGTTCAGCTCATGAAAAATGGGGGCAAAAACAAAAGTGTTGCATTTATAATTTTGTTCAGTACAACTGCTTACTTCCACCTTGTGGAGTCCAAACTTGTGGAGTTCAATCTAGCAAGATTCAATTGACCAGATCATTGTTATATAAGAGTAGTGTTTCATACTCTTATTTGGGCACCAAACATCCCTAAGTGGTAGACAACACTGCAGGCCAAAACACATTTGACACATAGATTATCCTACCCAGTATAATGCACATTGGTCGTTTCTATCAGTACACAGATGTACTTTACCCTGTGCCAATTCCAAAGTAGGTCAATATATAGGACCCAACCATGATGAGCATATATGGTTTGCATAACATAAAATTAAGCTACTGCTTTAGAGCAAGGTTCTTCAAATCAGACACTCCAAACTCACTGTGAAGGATTTTTTTTTTAAATGAAGTTCATAAGCAATGATGTGTCCACTCTTCCAAAATCAAAACTCTTGTGCGACTAGATGCTAAACAGATGTCAGTAGATGGTCAAGGCTTGCAGTAAAGCAGCTGAGCCTAGAATCAAGCCAATTGTATAGGAATATAAGGAAATCAATAATTTTGGAGCCAGAGACAAGATTCAGGGAAACATATGGACCTGATAAATCAAGCAGGAAGCGTACCTAAATGACACCAGGTATCAGTAAAGTCTGCTGCCTAAATTCTTCTGGTGATGTTTTGGTAGCTAATCTGCACAGTAGCATGAAAGACCAATGTACAGGCCTACTCGTGCACCTGATGCATTAACCCATAACCAGTATACATGTTAAACTTACAGTCCAGACCCTAATGCACTTCAGCTTGCGGAAGTGCTCTATGTGTGAAGAGTGTGTTCTCTATTTTTATTTGTGCAAAAAGTGCAGCTTTCGTAGAAATTGGCACTTATAAATAAGCCTTGTTACACCCCCCTTGCTGTCAATTAGAAAACCATTCCTATTACTTCCTGGTTTGGTTAGCTCAGTGGATCAACGCTCAAGAGGCAGACAATTGCTCAGAGCACCTGCCTTGCAAAGACCACATTTCACTGCTGCATTGGAAAAGTCTGTGATCGGACAGCAACATAAAGTCTGGGCTGGGCTAGAAGGACAGGACATGCATAGGCTGCAGATGAGATCTGCAGCTTTTGCAAGCTGTTTTTAGATATGCCCTCAATGATAAAATGCATAATTAAATGCATGCATGTTTTCACTGGGGGTATATCCACTAAACAGTGATTTTATTTATTTTCAGGAGGCAGTTGAGTATCCCTTTAATATGAATTTAAAGTAAGTTCTAAACTTGAATTTAGGTAGAGGGCCTCAGGCTTTGCACCCCCAGTTGTTGAAGACCTACAACTCCTCAAATTCTTGAAATGCAATAGATGACCAGAGAATTATGAGTTATAGCTCAGAGATATCTGACATGGGGACATGGTTTGAGATGCCTGTTTTAGACCATAAAGACAAATAAAATATGCCAATATTTCATGATTTCATATTGTGATAATATTCAAGCTATAGGTGTTGCACAGTGTCACATCATCAGTTGTTGATGAAGTCCTTAAGTGCGCAGCATCTGTTAATGTTCCAGTTTAAGACTGGAAGGGGAGCATTTATGCCCAAATGTTGAAGGATAATTACCAGGTCAAATTTAATTTCTTTCCAGGACTTGCATTCATTTATGTATATTTATTTTTTTCCTGTTATCTTTGCTTCCTACCATAATGATGATTAACTAAAGTGCTTTTAACAATTCCTTTCCATGAAACCACATATGTCAATTATGTTCTTGTTAAGCACACAAGTACAAAATTTGAGGATACAGTAAAAGTTATAAAGGAACATAAGTCAAAAAATTATATATATATAGTGAGAGAAAATGTGGAATGGTTGTTGAGGGAAGATATATTAGGCCTGCTTTACTAAACAGCAGCCTGAGGTTTTGGAGAGCAAGGTAGGCCAGTGCTCCAATAGCAGTAGTTGCTATGTAACAGATAGACAGGATCTTGTGTTTATACCTTAGAAGTTCCAGAGATGTATACTAATTGATACTCACCTGTAGCGGATTAGTTAGCAGGCAGGCTGTTAAAAGAAGGGATCAGCCCCCTGCAGAGTGAGGGAGAATGAGCCAGAGGAATGGTGTGGCTTGCAGCTATATTTTGTTCTTGTAAATTGGCAACTGGGAGAGCCACCCAATTCCAGATAGTGATTACTGTGTTTAGTAAGTGCTCAAACAGGAGAAAGGAGTTTTGTTTATTTTATTTTGAAGCACCTGTATATTTTGCACCAAACAAATCAGAAAAACTGAGCTGGATGTGTCCTGGACTTTGATGACCCTAGAAGGCTGTGGTTACCGTAAGATCTGTGACAAAATCCTACCTGTAAAAGAGGTGGTTTGTTACTATATATATATAATCTGTTTTAATTTTCATTTAGATTTCAAGGTCCCCTTTTTATATAAAAATAAACCCAAACGACATCCCCACCACCCCACCCAAAAAAAATAATTAACCTTAACGTTACCTGTAAATTCAGTGATGAGACAACGTTTTAAAGCTCAATCTGCCCACAGTGAGATCATTAAATCATGTGCTTCTCATAGTATAAGCATTGTGTGCATATGGCACATTGACTGTAATTAACCCCTTAAACCCTTAGTGACCAGACCGTTTCTCGATTCTCTTACCATTAAGGACCAGGGCTCTTTTTTACATTTCTGCATTGTTTTTGTGTGCTGTAATTTTCCTCTTACTCATTTACTGTACCCACACAAATTATATACTGTTTTTCTCACCATTAAATGGTCTTAATAAAGAAACCATTATTTTCATATCATATAATTTACTATAAAAACCATTATAAAATACGATGAAACAATTTTAAACACACTTTTTCTAACTAAAACCCCCAAAATCTGTTACACATCTACATCCGCCAAAAAAACACCTATGCTAAATAGTTTCTAAATTTTGTCCTGATTTTAGAAATACCCAATGTTAACATGTTATTAGCCTGTTTTTGCAAGATTTAAGGCAGTAAGTACAAGTAGCACTTTGCTATTTCCAAACCACGTTCCCCCCCAAATTAATAAAAGTTACATTGTAACAATGATATCTGTCAGGAATCCCCGAATAACCCTTCACATGTACATATTTTATAAAAGAAGACAACCTAAGGTATTCAATTTGGGGTATTTTGACTCTTTTCATGCAACCATTTTATTGCTAATTCATGCCAAATTAAAAATAAAAAAAAATTGGTAATTTTTGTGACACACACAGCAATTTAAGAATACATGTATTGAGAACTGTAACGGACCGTTTTGCACACAAGGGGTTAAAACCGTTTAGGCGATCGTCCCCTTCCAGAGACGCAGGCACAGCTACTGCAGAACACCAATCCGCCGAACTGGAAACCATACAAATGCTGTAAACGGCCAAATAGGAAAAACCATACGAATAGGTTTACACTCCTAGCAGTCAAACTGGAACAGCATACAGTAAATCCCCCCAAAGACGAGACAAAGCTCCGTGTTGAGGGTCAAGCAGTGAACAGCCAGAGCTGTGGGTTTATTGGGCTTATGTACACATTCTTACACATTAGAACCACCCACAGGGTTTTGGAACACAACCAATAAACACATACAATACACTCAGACACTCCCACACAAATTCCTCCCCTCTGCATGTGATTCAATTACCTTACACAATGGGTAATGTGATTTAGCACAAGCAAAGAAATACAATTTTTCCACATTATTCATAACTTGAAAAGTCACATAAAACTTACATTTTCAGAATCAGCATACTCCAAATACAAAATCGTCAAAATCATACAAATTGGTCCAGTGGTTCAAAAGATAGATCGTAGTCCTTTGTGACCACAGGAAGCATGGCTTTTCTGCCCAAAACCAGTTCCACAGAGTCTTCTGTCCTGGAGATAATTAGAAGTAATCCAATTATCTCCAAAGACAGAGGCAAAACTCCATTGAACACATGGCAGCAAAAAGACAGTAAAATACAATAAAATACACAAGGTTACATTTATGACATAAAATACAGACATGCCCAACATATGCCCAGATAGCTTAGGTCTGAGCGCACATTATTACTGAATGGCGCTCAGAGCACACACATACAGTTCAATTGCCATGGATCCAAAGTCTTTCCCATAGTCTTTCATTATACGAATGGGCTCCATGGCATAGCTATCTGGGGTATCACTGCTCAAACAGGGCAAGCACCAAATGACCCGGCTTTCTTGTCTTTGCAGGGGAAAATCAAGCCTTTTAACATGGGGCCATAATCCAAAGGCAACAGGCGAGCAACCAGGCTTCTCCAATGCAATGTGGCGAGATTGCTCTCGTCACAAGAACTTTAAGGGTTACTGCCAAAGAACACCCCAATATGTGTTCAGCAACATCTCCTGAGTACAGTGATATCACCCATGTATAGGTGTGTCAGGTTCTCTGGTGGCTCAAAGACCTTATTCAGAGGGTGCGCGTTCTCTCACATTGAACTTTAGGCATGGATTCTCAGTTCCTGTTATGTGTTACTGACAAAGAACACCCCAATATGTGTTCAGCAACATCTCCTGAGTACAACAGTACAGGTTCTATGGGTTGTTGCAAACCTACTAGTAGGGCTTTCCCCTTTGCCATGTTTGCACATCTGAAATTTGCCAGATTGGTTTGCTGGGCCTATGTTGCCTTTGAGACCGTATGGCAGCCCAGGAATGAAAATGAACCCCATCATGGCAAACCAATTGTAAATGTAGACAACCCACGGTATTCAAAATTGGGTATGTCCAGTCTTTTTTTAGTAGACACTTAGTCACAAACCCTGGCCCAAATTAGCATTAATATTAGTTTTTTTTTTTTTTCACACATAAACTGCCATTTCACTGATATCAGTATAATACATTTTACTGCTCTAAAACACTTATATTTGTGTAGAGTAATGCCTCACGAGTACAACAGTACCCCTCAAGTACAGCTTTTATGGTGATTTTGAAAGTTACAGGGTCAAACATAAGATTTGCCAATTTCTGCTTTTCCAAATTGGTTATGTTGCCTTTGAGACGGTATGGCAGCCCAGAAATGAAAATTAACCCCACCATGACATACCATTTGAAAAAGTAGACAACCCAGGGTATTAAAAATTAGGTATATGTCCAGTCTTTTGTAGTAGCCACACAAAAACTGCACTTTTACTGGTGATTTCATCATCGTGATTTAAACATGCACATCATATTTTGGCTCTCGGATGTTGTATGAGCGCGTGGAAGTCAGCTGAGTCCGTAGTAATAAGCCAATTTCAGAGTTCAGATGTCATAGCATGTCTGTTATTTGCCACTCGATTGGTAGGTGAGGTCCCCCATGGAGCGGAGATCCTCCAATCATTGGAACCAAAGGGTTAGGGGTGGGGCGCTCTCTTAGTTACATTAAGGATTCTGATTGTCAAATACTTTTTTATGGACTGAAGTCTGGATTTTGGTGTGGTGGAGCAGCAGTGGTGCTGGGCTGAAGGGGGTTGGGGTATCAGTTAATTTTTGGATAATCTTACAGATTTGTTTTCACAATGGTCATATCCGGGCACAGCTCCACCTCCAGCAGTCCTCATCAATGGATGGGATGATGGTGTGTGTTAATAACTTAACTCCTTAAAGTAAGAAGGTGCCTGGGACCTCCTCACACCACAACTTAGTTGCAAATAAGTTATAGTGTTGATAATATGTTGATAAATCCTATCCAGAGTGATTGTCTTGATTTAACTGCTTAATGTGAGTTCTAGGGCCCTTTTGTTTGCCAAACCAAAAATGCCAACAGTGTTGTTGGAAAACATTGTAAATGTGTGAGTGTTATCATTACTATCGTTGACAGCCGATAAAATGTAAATAATTATCAAATGATTGTGATTGACGGTTTTAAAACACATTCACATAAGGGCTTTTTGGCATCTTTAACTAAGGGGTAAATTATAATCCATATCAGTATCTGGTCAACAACGTTTTATATATTTAGTTTGGCATTGCATGTTTTCAGTGTAATTACAATGCAAAAATGTCAAGTTGATTGTTTGTTTTTCTGATAATGTGGTAAAATTGTTATTGACTAAACTGTGCTTAACTTCAGTTTTCATTATTACTCACACATCACAAGATTGATACACCGTGATTAATAAAGACAAACAGAACTGATGCATCTTGGACAGATCTGACCTGTTTGTCTGACCCCTTTAACGCTGCTCTGGTGATTACAATAACTGTCATGTATCATTAACTTGTGTACCAAATAAACACTGATATTTTTCAGATCCCACGTTTAGAAAGTGTACATATATATTTCTTGCGTTACAGTTATAATTTGGTCATGTTGCTTGCAAACGTCCTCAACTGAGGGAAGTATTTGTGGTGTTGTTTCTTCAACAATTTTGAGACATTATTGGATTATTTGTTAACTGTCTAATAAAAAATAATCCAGAGTCGAGGGACATTGGTGCTAGAATTGGAAAGTGAATAAGGGGGAAGAGAGGTGCGATATATCCCTTTGTATTTAGAATACTAAAGTGTTCCTTTAATATGATGTTTGATGTAGATAAAAGATTTGCAATACAGTTTTTTGCTATGAGCCCTTTTGCCTATAAGACAGATGCTGTGGACTACATTTACATGCTCTTCTAGCCATAATGCTGGCAAAGGATGAGGGAGATGTAATCCACAACATCTGGAGTGCGGAATGTTGCCAACTACTGCTCTAAGGGCTTCTCAAAGAAAAATTCACTGTAGCTGAAAATGTACCACTATTGATGCAACATGAAGAATTGCTGTGGCATCCTGTCTTTCTTCCACAAGCACTATAATATCTTTGTAAGTATCGAAATTTACACTGTGGTGGGAGTGTATTTAATTACTTATTTTTAACATCCCTCTCATACTTTTTGATGTTGACTTATTTTGTAGGGCCACGATTTTATTCAGCGCTCTACAATTTTATAATTGGAAGAGCGTGGACAGAGGTGAACGAAAAAAATATTCAGTGGTATCCAACCCAGTCCTCAGACCACACTAACAATCTACAATTATGGTATTTCTCAATACTGGCTATGATTGTTGTATATCCGTTATAGCATACATGTTTGTTTTGAAAAAGTGCATAATGTAAAACTGAAAAAAATCAGCCTAATCTGATTAGCAGTTTCTTAGCCTAGCAGGACCCAGGAACTATAAAAACATCTCAGCATGTCGTTAGACTCAGATCTATTTTTTTTACATGTCACCTTTATAAACTATCATTTAACTTTATCATAAAATTGGTAACCTATTTAAGTCAAATTTTGTTTAAATTGAAATTCCCCATATTCGGGAAACAGATTTATATGGTAGATGTTAATAATTGGTGGTATACCCATTGAGTCTCAAATCAATCTCAGTACAACATTACCATACACAAGATTAAACAAATCACAATTATTGGTATTTTAAAGATTTAAATTAGCTGTTACCTTTAGTTAAAAGGTGAATATTACAATGTTATAAGCCGTGTCTTTGGTTTTCTAGCATAAAGGACTCAACAAGTAGAGGCTACAATTTTATGGATTTAGAAAATATTTGAAATCAGTTTAAATTTTTATTTTTTTAAATTTTTTATTACTTTTTATTTTTTTTAACACAAAGTAAAGGGTGTGACAGAGGGATACAGACAAAAAATTCATGAAGAATGGACGCTATAGAACATTTTAGTTACAATGCAGTCAATAGCTGTTATTGAATATCAAAAAAACTTCCTACAATTTTAACTATTTTGAAAAAGTACAGGAATGTTATTGATGTTAACACATTATCTAAATAATTTGACGCTAGTGTTGTCCATGTGTTGAATATTTTGTCATCCACTTATATTCCATTTTGTTACTTTACATGTAGCGGTTTCGAAAGTAGTCTCGGTATGTGAGCATGTCCTCTTTGCCCAGAGGCTGCATGATGCCTCGTCCCGCTTGGATATGAGCACTGAATATCTCAATTGACTTTCTATCTACCTTGGGAGGTTGGACTTCATAAATATTGTCTTGTGAGAAGGAAGAGATACAGCTCCTGCATGGGAAGAAATAAAGACCATTAATCAATTTAAACAAAAGCCATTAAATTAATTCTTGTGGAGCCTCACTTCACTTTTTCTTTCGTCTGAAAAAAAAGAAAAATGGATGCAGGTCTTGTCTAAATCTAATCATAAGTCAAATTTTACACTATGATAATGGAAAGAAAGAAAAATATATTCATATAAATAATAACTGAACAATCAGTTGTCTGATTGTCTGTGGTCAACTAAAGTGAATGCAGGTCTACAACAATATGTTATGCCAGTTAGATCTATGTTTATTATACAAACAGTAAAGCTTAGTAAATCTAAAACAATAGCATTTTTATTATAATTAGTATTTCAACTATACAAAATTGTCTGCGCATATAATAGCAGCATTTTATAACAGAACTGCAGGAAGCATTTTTTTTTCTTTTCTTTAAACCTGACCTCCAAATGGAAACTGTCATCATTGCTAAGCTTCTACAATACATGAAAACATACACAGTCTGTAGGCGTATTTGTGTAATGCATACCTCCGATCTTTCATCTCCCCACCAACCCAGGAATGCACACAATGACAGCTCAGGGATAGCCAAGCATTGGCCAGTCGAAGCCTTATAAAACGAATATACTATTGATAATGAATGTCACTTCCCAATGCAGCAGGAGCTTATTTGAATGAAAACGTGACTTTACAAATGGTTTTAGATTGTCACATAAAAGGAGGTTTAAATATTTACTTAAAAAATGGAAGCTCATGTCAATGAATGCTCCCAATGTAGACAACACAGGGTAATATTACACTGCCTGAAACTATATTATGTACTACTCATCAAAATGTATATAATTCTACTCATACTATCGTAGAAGAAAGCAAGTAGCACACTGATACCAATGTGTTTTGTATATAATATATATATATATACAACTCAATTTCAGTAATGAACAGTAGTTGTCACACCGTGCAATAAAAAACATCCCTGCCTGAGATTGGTGGGAGTCAAACTCTCAGGCCGAAGACTCTCACCTTGACTTTGCCCCTCTCCTGTTAGTGACATTCTGTGACAGCAGTGGAGAGAGGCAACACAGTGTGTTTCTATCTTTACAGATTTTTCTTTCAGCATTAGTAACCTAAATACAACAGAATTAAAGGCTGCTGGCGCCCATCAGCGGGACTCCAATTTCTTCACTATGGTCATTCAAATGCCGGTAAGTGTGGAGTAAGACACACACTATCACTTCTCTCCATGGCCCCTCTATTGGCATCCCGGTAATAGAAGACAGAGTAAATTAATGGCAAAAGCTACTGCCCGTAAGCGTGACTCTTACCAATCTTGTGATAAAAAGCTACATAACATTCAAGCACGTATTTGGTGGAAAAGGTTGTCAAACATAAAAATGTAATTTAAAGGTTCAGGAAATATTTGTAAACCACTTGTCTCTTGCCTCATGGTTTAATATGATGTCTCTCTCTCCCACCCTCCGAACATGCATTTTCTGTTATTCTCCTCTTCATGGTACAGGTATACAAAACATATTTCAACAGCAAGCGCTAATAAAGATTATGACATAATTCTGCGGATGGCAGGTTTAAAATAGTCTATTATCAGACGAATAGATACATCCTACTGTGGTTTCCAGTCTGTAAGCATAACAAATTAAATAGCCTAATCAACACCTTGCTTTTATTCCAGAAAGCTTTGACATCACATCACAAATAATTTCCCTTTGCCTGGAGGATGGTGAAATCTTATATATACATATTTAGTTTTAATGGTACTGCTTTTTCCCGCATGTAATTTCTATTGGAATAACAGGAAGCCTTTCTCTCTACTTTTTATTTCAGCTAGCTTAATAATGGCTAAAAGTATCATTACATAGAGGTGTATCACTAAAACAAAATCACCATCTTTAAAACTTTTTTTTTTTTTTTTTACTTCAGATTTTACATAGTGTAAGCAGTGACAATTAAAAACCTAAGCAAAACACACATACACAAATCTAATGATTATGATTGAGCAGGGAGTGAATGGGCACCCATGAATTCTAGACCAACCTGTATGCTATGTAATGCTATTTTAATGGGACACTACAGTCACCAGAACAACTACAGCTTATTGAATTTGTTCTGTTTAGTAGAATCATTACCTTCAGGCTTTTTGCTGTAAACACTGTCTTTTCAGAGAAAATGCAGTGTTTACATTACAGCCTAGTGATAACTTCACTGGCCACTCCTCAGATGGCTGCTAGATGTGCTTCCTAGGGATGCAGCACTGCCATTCAGTGTCTCCACTCTCTGTATGAAGACACTGAACTTTCCTCATAGAGATGCATTGATTCAATGCATCTCTATGAGGAGATGCTGATTGGCCAGGGCTGTACTTGACTTGTGCTGGTTCTGCTCCTGATCTGCCTCCTTGACAGTTTCAGCCAATTCTATGGGAAAGCATTGTGATTGATTCAGAAAATCACTTCTGATGATGTCACCCAAGCAGGCAGATCAGGGGCAGAGGCAGAAGCTGCAAACTTGAATAAAAGTAAGATTTGACTATATTGAAAGAGGCAAGGAGGTTTGGGGTAGATATTGGTTTTAACACTATATGAACAGGAACACTATAGTGTTCATTTAAGGATAGGATATTGAAGGGTTACTATAGGCACATAAACAACTTTAGATTGATGAAACAGTTTTGATGTATAGATCATGCCCCTGCAGCGTCACTGCTTAATTCTCTGACATTTAGTAGTTTAATTACTGGTATTTATAAAGTGCTGCAGAATCTGTTGGCACTTTATAAATACAAGTAATAAATAAATAAATCACATTGTTTATACAGCACTACTCACACCTCTTTCACACAGCCTCCCTAAAAACTTCATGTAAAGAGAGATTTAATATTTAGGCTTCCTTTATTGCACAGTCTGTTAATTATCACCTGCTCAGTTAATAGCCCGATAGAGCCTGCAGGAGCTGTCTATGTGTAATTAAAGTTCCATCTATAGAGCTGGAGATAAACTAAAGTGAGTTAAGATTTGATGAAAAATGAAACCATTCTGTCACGTTTAAGCCAGGTGAGGTGTGGCTAGGTCTGCATTGACAGAAACAAAAGTAATTTGACTCTTTTATAACACGACAGGAGGCTTCATATTTGCTTTAGTCTCTCTTTACTAGAACTCCACAGCAGCACAGAAAAAAAAAACAATCAGAAAAAAGTTAGGCATTATTCCCTCTTTCTTTGCTGCTCCGCAGTCAGTACAGGTCAGAGTACAACTGCCTCCTGCTTCTAGTGGGTGGCTTTGGGATTTATTATGATTTATATTGATTATATTCAGTTCCAGGTTATAGATTATATAATATATTTTTATATATATATTTTATATGATATTTAGTTATATCTATTATATTTCTCTTCAGATTATTTATTAGTTATATCTATATCTATATATATATATAGGTTATATTTAGTTATATTATTATTATTTGATATCATATGTATTATATATATGTATATTTTATGGTTATGGTATTTAGTTATATCCTTTATATTCTGCTTCATTTATTTATTGATTAATTAGATATTGTATGTCATTGTATATTTATGATTTACTTGGGATTATTGCCGTTTTTACTCTTTGCTTCCCCGGTTGCTTGGGGATGTGTTCCGTTCCTTTCAGTTGCCCTCCCTCCCCCCTCCACTCCCTAGCGCCCTTCTATTAGCCCCCACGGGCTACGGGTGCTCCGCTCGGGGAGGCAGGAGACTAGCCGTTTGGCTGCCTCCTCTGACTCCCGAGCTCCAGTGTCAGCCTGCCGGCGCCCGGGATTACTCGCGGTTGGACGCGAGTACCCGGCGGCCGGGTCGACCCACACACGTGGCCGCCTCGCCATGGCAGGCTTCTTCATAGAGCTGCGTGCAGCCGACCGGCGGGGGGGGAGGGCTCACCTGCTCGCAGTCACTCCTCCACACACGGTGGTCAGACCGCAAGTGTTTTATCCTCACTGGCATTCTGGCTCTGTAACATGGTGAAAACATACAGAGCCAGTCTGGCAGTGAGTTCAGGGATAAACAGATTATAGGTTCTGCTAAGCAATTTTTTATTTTTTATTTTTTTTTGTTGAAGACAAATAGGTGATACCTGCATATTGCACTAGTAAGCTGGTGCTCTTTGGTGCATTTACTTATACATTAG